CCACACATTCTCTTTGACTCTGCCTCCTTCCCTCCTGCCCTTTTTTCCCCCACTTTCCATTAGGGAGACTGTCAGTATGCTTTGGTGTGACTATAGATCGTCACGTCAAAACAGCCCTGAAACCTGTCACGCCCTCCCCCCTCCTGTCCCTCAGAGAACAGGGCCTCTGTGAAAGCTATTATACGTTCCTCTGTTCAACTGATTAGCCACCACTCTCATCATTACTGATACAGGTCCTGGCTTTGAAATGGCATGACTTCGATAGGATTACCTTGTTTGTAATTCATATCCACAGGCCTATTAATTCCAATGAGAGAACAATAAGCTAGTGGGGTTTATTTATTTATTTCCCCCTCCTGAGTTCATTGTTAGCCTGTACATGTTCTGGGTCTTGGCTAGTCTTTAATGCCTGAGCAGATTATGTGGAATACAATTCAAGGCCAAGCCCGTTTTGACATTGTCAAATTCTGTGCTCATGGCTGTTCATTTGTCAAATTGACTTAAGAGGGCATGATACTCTCACCCTTGAGACTTCTTCTTGTTGCTTATCACTTAAAATGAAGTAAGAGACCTGTCAAAGCATAGTTTACCCGTCAACAATGAAATATGAGTGTAAAATACTAGAATAAAAATTGAAATAAGAGACCGGGAGCTTTAAAAAGGCTCTTAGGAGCAAATGGTTTCACTTCTTTTGGTTTTTCAGTCATCAGACTTTTACAAGCTTCGGACTGACCATCAGTTGTCACGTGACCCACGGCGCTTTATTTTCACATTGGTCTTTTAAAGTTTAACACGTGCTTAGCTTCAGCAAGTTCTTTAAAAGTTTTTCCATCCAATCTCAATCCCCAAAGTTTGGAAAGCCTCGGTGCAGTTGTACAACTTGATGTTTAAAATATGAGATGGCTATTGGCAGGCACTTGAGTTATGAAACCAATATCCATGGACCAAAGCCTTGTTATTTATTGAGCCCCTCGGTGCAGGCTGGTGCGAGGAAGATTTTAGATGGCAGGACTGTGGCACCATGTCATGGGCACTGCCAGCGAAGGAACAGCTGAGTCATATACATGTGTTTAAAAAAACATACATTTATTAAACAGCCGCAAAGCCTCCCAGGTCTCGCTACATGCCAACATTGAAGAGTAAACTATGGTAATGATGAATGTGGAGCTGCATGCACAGCAAGAACACATGTACTTTGAGGCTATGAATATTAATTCCCTTGCAAATTAGTTTTATGCACACAAGGGCCTCTTCTGTACTGACCCTTGGACAGAGGAACAGCATAAACGCCCTTTGATTTTCAACAGGAATGCTGATCTGTTATAATGTGTTTGTTATGTAACACCAACATGTGGAAGCTTTTTACAGTCAGCCAGTATTCAAAGCTGTGGCACAACCTGGAGAACACAAAAACATTAGTGAGAAAATATAAGTTGATACTAATTATGCAAAACTGACGCATTCATATTCATGCGTTTTAAAGGGGTAAACTCTACCACTAAAATAAACTTAATATTGAGACTTTGTATAACTGACTTCTTTATGAAGAACCTCATTAAACTGAAACATGTAATGAATTAGCAGAGAGCCATCTTTAAAAAGATAATATAACAT